ATACAAATATTTACTAAATATTTTTGCTTGAATTGCTCCTCGTTGTCCATGACAATGTATACGAAATAATCCAAGATCATTTAAGCGTAAACGAGGAAAACATTCACCAGATATTTGAACAACTCGTGGTCGTTCAACACGAATTGAAAATGGGGATCCTATAAAAACGGATTTAGTTTTCATATTTAATTTAAAAAAATTTCTACCTTCAATTGGTTGATTCGATGATGAAACATGAACTGAATAGACGCCCGGTTCTTGTGGAACAAAATGAATTCGAGCAAGATTTTCATTAATTATAGTTGTTGTTGATGGAATTTGTCGCGTACCAAGAAGTACAACAGCTTGTATTTGTGTATTTGATGTTGATTCAGCATGAACTAAATATTAATTAAAACGTAAATTAAGTGAATAAAGAGAAAATATTTTATTTACCTTCTATTACACATGGAGAATTTGTTAGTAATGTTTGTTCGAGACCAGAGAGAACAACTTTACCATTCGTATCTTTGACTTGAATTAGATACGGTGAACCTGAGATAAAAATATTGATAAACAAAGATAAGAGAATCTAATTATATCATCGTTATGGATGAACGACCTCAAGGTGTTGTTGAAATACATTGAATACAAAAAAAAAGAAAACGAGAGAAACTGTTCGTATATATAAATCTTATGTCATCAAATGTATATATATACATATACATCTATATTCATATCAAAATCTTTTAGTTCTTAACTATTATAATCTTTTATCTCTGTGTATAGATATTGAAGGTTTAAAAATGAATTCTTATTTAATACTATTATTCTTACTTAGAAGAGATGATCCATTATGTGTTAATTGTACTTTATAAGTTCCAGGTACATAAGGTCGAAATTTCATATGCCAAACATGTGAATCTTTTGTTCGTTCAATTTTATGTGGTACAGACATTCCATTACATGATACTTGACCTTGTATTGATGATATTGAAGGATTTTCTGTATTGACTATTACACAAAAATACAAAATAATTACGTAATTTATTTTGTAAAGAAAACGTCTTACTTTGTAAACAGATATCATCGCCAATATCTGGAATACTACTTGGTATTATTTGTTGAATACGAACAATAGAAGATGATCCACTTGTTGTTTTTGTTAATTGTGGTAATGAAGGATAAACATCTATATCAAGAGTTTTTCCTTGTACAAGTTGATTATTAAATAATATACGAAGTTGATATCGACCAGGTTCAAGAGGTATATATTGAACAAGATATTCATGAGAAGTTATTTCTTGTATATGACATCGACAAGGAACTTTCGAAGTTTGTGGTTGAACTAATTCAACTTTTAATTGACCTTGGCCAGCTTGACTGGTATTTACTATATATACAAACAATTAAAATTAGATCAAACGTTTTTTTCTTTTTAGAATGTGAGTGTGTGTTATTTAATTTTATTAATACTGCCCTTGATTGAACTATAGATATATAGATTTACCTTTATAAGCAACAGTAGTTCGAACAACGACAGGTTGACTATGTTCGGCGATAATCGATATACGCTGAATGTCATAAACGGTCACATCAATTGGCGTACCTGTCAAACAGAGAGTCATTCATATAACATCAATTATGTAATCAATATAAGATTCTTTTGTAAGTAAAACCTCTATTAAATATGAAAAATATCCTATTACCTTTCCTCGCTTAAAAAAAGAAAAAACCTCTCATCATCTTGACATTTTGACATCCAATGAGAAAAACACATAACAAATCATAACAATATCTATACATATGATATATTAAAATAAAAAGAAAAAAAAGAGAGAGAGAGAGGAAAAAAACAAAAAGAATTAACGAGGATTAGGAATATAGATAAGTGTGTCACAAAAACGAGCTTTTGATGTTGATGATGCTTTAGGTACTCGAGAAAAATCCGTAAAAGTTTGTTTTAATGCTGATGGTGGTCTGGATGGTGTCTGTGGTGCTGGTTGTGATTGTGGTGGTGGTGGTGGCGGTTGTCGATAAACTGGTGGATTTGATGGTTGAGAATTAGGTGGAGGAGGAGGATGGCGATGTATGACAGATGGTTGTTCACCCGAAGAAACCATACTAAATCGAACTTGAATATCATTTAAAAGTTGCCTATAATCTCGATAGAAATCTGACGGTTTGTCTTGATAGATATCATCAAAAACTTTATCAACTAAAGTCCCTAGATTTCTTGTATCCATCTGTGTTACATGTCCGTAATCATCTGAATATACAGATGGATCAGCTGATAAAGTTGGTGGAAAACTTTTTGGTTGTGGTTGTGGTGGTGGTTTAGATTGAGGCGGTTGTTTTTTTTCAACTGATACTGATCGAGTCAGTACAGTGGGTCGTACTGGTGGTAATTGAGGTATTGGCATAGGTGCTTGTGTGACAATACTTGGTCGTGATCGTATATTACGACTACGTAAACTATAAAATTTAATTTGATCGGCTGATTGTTGTGTATGTTGTGGGTATTGGTAATGTTGTTGCTGTTGGTGTTGTTGTTGTTTTTGCTGCTGCTGTTGTTGTTGTTGTTGTTGCGGTTGATGATAGTGTTGAAGAAATTGATTACTTAATGTACGTGTTAATGAGCGTGTTGGTTGTATTCGATCACATTCGACACTAGCGGGACGTGTAGGTCGATGGTCAATAAAACCATTCGAACTATTAAATGGTTCGGTTTGAGCACCTTGATCTCGTAAAATTAAACGTTCAGTACTTTGTGAACGTTGACACATTGGATAACTAGGACTTTGAACAATACGAATATGTATTGGTTCAGATGGTGCGGGTGGAGGTGGAAAATCTTGTTCATTATCAGATGATGATGATGAAGAAGATGAAGGTGGTAAATTAATAACAAGTGTACGAGATTCTTTTTCTACGGATGGTGTTCTTGAACGAAATGAATTAAGTGTTATATGTGGAATAGGTGAATGATGACGTTTGAGATTTGTTGTTTCAAAACGTCGACGAATTGTTGGACGTAGTAGTTTCTTTTTGTTTGTTAATGGTTTCATAAAAGGTTTCTTATTTTCATTGACCGGTGTTGTTGATGTTGTCGCTGTTGTTGTTATAGTAGCTGGAACATTGACTGTTTCAAGTTCAATTTCTCGTAATTTTTCATCAATCTGTTTAAGCATTGATAAATGCCACCCACGAAATGTTCGTAATTTTTCATCTTGTTCTTTTATATTTTCATGATCATGCGGATTTCTTTCAGCTTGATTACTATCACTTAATATTGGTGATGGTGTATCACCACCATCATCATCATCGTCATCATCATCATCATCATCATCATTATCATCATCGTTGCCACCATCATCTTCGTCTGATGGTTCGACAGGTGTACGTTCTCGTTTAAAATTCGGATTATTTTCATCAATATTAATTGATGATGTATGTCTTGTAGGTGATGGTGAATGATCAGATATTGTTTCAGCTGATGAAAGTGACATTGAACAAGATATTTCAAGAGGATTATCAACATCATAGTGTAATTCATAATTTCCACCATTTGAACGACTTAAAGGAAGATTTTCAAGTTCTTCTTCATCACCATCATCATCTGCATCTTCACGTTGTACTTTAGATGATCGATCATGATCATGATGAATTATAACTTGACCACGTATAGCACGAAACATGCCTGTATCATTTGATGGTGATATTGGTGGTGGTGGTGATGTTTTGTTTGTTGTTGTGTTTTTAGGGAAAAAGAAACGATTGACAAAGGTTGGTAATGTACTGTCATCGTCACTTTCTTCACTAGGTGGTAATTTATTTTCTAATTTATTTTTTGTTGATGACATTGTTGGACTTGGTGGATGATGTAGATTACGATATGTTGTACGGGATTTACTCAGGTATTCTTCAATACCATTATTCATATTTTTTGTTCTTTGTTTGTATGAATAACTACTTGTTGTTTGTTTACCAACGATGACGGTACAATTATTTCGACAAAATGAATGATGGCAATGAGGAGTAACTTGTCGTTTTTAATTAGACACTGTACCATAGAAAAAATGACGAAAGAATGAGGACGTGTATGCATACATATATTCACTCATACAGGTGTCTTCTTTCCTCGTCAGATTACTTGTAGTTTGGACGAGCAAGAGAAGAGTAAAATACGGGGTTTGTTCCGTTCGATCGATCGAACAAAAGTGTATGCATGAGTGAGCAACACACATTTGAAAAAGTATACATATATGCGCGCGCACGATCAGAAGAGAAAAAAGGGCAAGAAAATTATCGATGTACGCTTTCGTTACTCTTCTCTTCTTTTTTTCATTTTTGATGCGTTGGTCAGACTAAGATCAATCGTTGTATTCATTGCTTCCTCTCAATCATTTTGTCTTCGTTAGGCATAGGTAAAAATTCTTCATAACGAAATAAAATAGTTCAATTTTTCAATTCGTCAAGCTATGAAGACATTTTTTTTTGTTCATACATATAATCAAATATTCTATAGACATATAATTTATCTCTTTCGAAAGTTTTGCTTAACTAATTGATTACACTTCACTTTTTCTTTGTGTTTCACACAAATATTCAATTTATTTATGTTTGTGTTTATAATCAAAAATATCATCTTTTGATGAACGATTTAAACTAGACGAATATAATTGAAAAACTAAAACTAGTAAACGTCACTTACCGTTAATTGGTAGATTTCGATAGGCTGTATAAATTCGATATGTGCCAATTTTTGGTGGGGATATTGATATACGCATATGATTTGATGGAAGAGGATGTATATGAATAGGAATAATGACTGGTTGAAATTGATTTTCATCAATTTGAGAATAAACCATAACAAAGAATTTACCAGGACCAGCTTTATCAATATTACCTAAAATGAAGAAAAAAAATATAAAACAATTGCTTTTAAAAAGGTTTTGTAAATTTTTATACAAATCAAATGGCAATCATTTATTGGTTGTAAACGGTTAGATGATTCAAAATGGACAGTACTGGGATTATAGACGGGAAACATGAAAGGAGAACCTATAAGAATAAAATATATGAAATTATTGGAAAAATAATTTTTGTTTTTTTACCAGGAATGGGTTGCTCCAGGAAATCTTTTAATATTATTGAATAATCTCCGGCAGCAGTTGGACGGAATTTAAGGAGGAATGTATCATCATTTCTACGAGCTGCTTGGAGGGGAATTTCGGCACCATTTATTGTTACATGTACATATGCAATATGGGGAAGATCAACTATTTATAATATAAGAAAATTAATAGTATTCTTAAAGAATTTCTTACGTACTTAGGAGATGTACATCAATATTAACTAATGGATATGGATGTTGTAAAAAGACTTTAAATGGATATCGTCGAGTATCTATGAAAGAAAAATCGAATTAGACAATATATTTCTTGAAAAAAACAAAACAATACGATTGAGAAAAAGTAAAACGGTTTTTTTGATAATAGATGTTTATCATAATTTAAACATTTCATCGATAAGAACAGATTGCTTTTCGAATCGATCTATCATCAATTTATAATCTTACTTGATATGCATGGGAATGATTTCTATCTTTTAAATTAAGTCTGTATCTCTTTATATAAAGATTGTAAACTAACAGCTTAGAAAATAAATCAAACGTAACGAAATATGATAATATAGATTTTGATAACTTTCTCAAATCGCAGAATAATATTTGAAAATCATACCGAATACAGTATCAATTGGTTGTTGTCGTTCGAATTTATCTTTTAATAGATTAAATCGTTGAATTTGTAGATCATTCAATGGTATAGGGGCTGATGTTAATGAATGTCGATCTTCGGATTTTGAAATACGTTCTGCACGTTGTTGTTCAATGAATGTTGGAGTTTTTTGGGATGTTGTTTGGGATAGATTTTCATTTGATTTTGATAAACGAGCATTGATAGGATCAAATGTTGTTTGAGATGATACTGAACGTGGTCGTTCACGTTCTTGTGGTTTGGGATCACTAGAACGACTGCGTGGTTCAATGTCACTAGTGGCCACAGAGCTTCTAATCATTGGTGCTATATGATTATCGAGAAAAAGAAAATATTAAAATAAATTCATTTAATATTATTGAACTTACGAGGTGGAATAGGTTCATCTAACATGGGAATATCTTTTGATTCAACTTGTGCTCGAAGTGGTGTTTCAGGAATTGCAACTCGATTAAATAGTATAGATGTTGTATATGAACCTGAATATATTAGTTAGATAAGAAAAAATAAATCATTTTGATAAATCTACCTAAAACATTTGGTTTAAATTCAACAGCAACATGGCCATTTGATCGTTTGAGGACAGTAATTGGAACACTTCGATTTTGTGGATCTAAAAATTTCGAATTATTATTGTTGCTTTTGTTTTCTAATCATAAAATATCTAATTCAAACCTTTGATCGCTATTTTTAACGATCCTTTTCCAGCTTTTGTCGGATTAATAATAAATCGATTGATTGCATTCAATAGAAGTTTGTCAGGGAAATTCATTAAATAAACTGATGCTGGATCAAATGCATGAACAATCAATGGACTACCATTAATAGGTTCATTTTCTTTTGATATATGAATTTCAACAGGTCCTAAAATATTTTCATAACAATAGAATTCATTTGGGATTGTTTTCTTAATTTATATTTTGAGTTTTCTTATTAAACAGATATGTCGGCCTTTGCCGTGGTATTTTTTCTAATTATTCAACTATGACATACAATTCAATTAAAATAATAAATGATACTCTAGCATGTTTATATATGTTCAATAGCATGACTAGTTCTTTCTTTCATATGAATTACAATCTATTAAACGTTTCATTTAACCTTGATCATATATATAATGAATACCTGAACAATTTCTATTAATAAGAAAGAAAGAGTATTGTTTACTAACTATACATCTTAAGACTCATCTATGTTAGCTAATTTTTTGATATTTATACAAAACATACCGACAACAGTAGGTTCATAAAAGATTTGTTTTCTTCCATCAATAAGATATTCAGTTTTATAATTGATTGTGTTTCCATCAGCATCTACAAAAAAAAAATTTTATTATTTTTTCTTCGGCTTGTAAATTTTCTTACCAAAAATTGCAATATGAAATTTATTATCTACATCTTTAAAACTAAATTTTGAAACAATACCAACACCTGGATCATTAAGATCGGTTATATCAAGTACTTGTACTTCCGGACTTAATCGACCATCTGTAGGAGGTGCTTGAGGAAAGTCCGTTGGAGATACTGGAGGATTATTTGTAAGAATTTCTTTGATTGGAGATGGGGGAGGTGGCAATTCTGATGATGAAGCAGATGTTGTTCGTGAAGATGAAGCTTCAGATGTTTCACTAATTGTTGTTAAATCTTTTCCAGTTAAAAGTGGAATAAATGAATCAAAACCAATATTATTATTGTTATTATTATGATTATGATTGGCATTTTTTAATAATTTTTGTTTTCCTTTTTTATCATCTGGCGAAGGTGTAACAATTGGTGAAAGTGGAACATAATCATCATCATATGCAAATATCGGTAATAAAGCAAAATTTTTACTATCATTATTTGATACACGTATCCAATGAGTTCCTTTAAAACGAAAATATTTCAAAATTTTTTGTTAAATAATAATAATAATAAAATAACTTACCGACACGAACAGGTGATAGAGCAACTGTTAATTCTCCAACTTCATTGGTTGAACGTTGAAATGGTAATGGTCTTTCAAATGAATCTGAAAAGATAAATTTCTAGGTATATATATATTGTTAAGTGATATTTTACCGATAATATCAATTTGTATTTTATCAACATTATCAATAACACCTTCAAATGTATGTTGAAGAACTTCTTTAACTTGTACACGAAGTACAGGTTCAAATGGACTATTCGCACCAAATGACATAATACGAATAGGACAAAGATCAAGAAGATTATTTTGTGTTCGAATAAATACTTCATGAATATCTAATTAAAAAAAACGTTTTTTCTAGTTAAATGAAAAATACGAGCCTAAGCTTTTATAAATTCATCAAGATGTGAGAGTAATCTGTCTTATATTTACTGTTCACTTCTGGACAACTCACTGAAATCTAACAGAATTTAAGTAGAATAAAGATCTGTGCGCATCAATAGTGTCTCATATAACAAAATCTGGAGATTCCAAGGAAGTAACAGAACCTAGATGACTATTCTTATATGTTTAAGAAAGAGAAGCTTACCAAGTTTAGTAGGTATATATTCAATAATTAAATCTCGATTAAAATTTCGATAGAATGCCGCTGGAATTGTATGAGCAAATGGATCTATTAACAAATAAAAGTGAGAAATTATTTATTAAAAAAAGAAGACAATAAAATTTTTTTCTTCTTACCTTTTACAATAACATTAACATCACTTCCATTTAATTTACTTTCATCAACAATTAATCGAGTTATATCTTCAATACCGCCATTCCGGAATATATCTGTTTCTTCACTAACACAATGTATATCAAATATTTGTTCATCCTTATTTTCACATACACTCAATTGATAATAATCTATATTAATCAAATAAAATATATATATAATAAAATAGAAACTTCGAATTTTACCAGTTTCAGTTAAAGTACAGTAGACTTTCCATTCTACTGCATCTCTTTCGAGTCCTATTGGCGTTTCATCACCATTTGAACCTAGGAAAATTTTATGAAATTTTAAAATACAAATGAAATTATTTAAACATACGTCTTAATCGAACTTTTAAATTTTCATTAGAAGAATTTATTGTAATATAATTAAGTACATTGGGATGAATTATTCTTTCACCTTCAATTGTTCTGTGAAAATTTGCAGGTAGAATATCCATTGATGCAAGAATAAGCGGTGAATCATCATTACCAGCAACATAAGTTTGAATTTGATGAATACCAGATTTAATGGGTTCAAATTCAACACGCCAACGACCACCTGAATCTTGTATTCGAGTATGTTTTATAGTAATCTGATCAGGATCTATGACAAAAAAAAAGCGAAATAAACTTATTTGATTTTAAATCAAGATTAATATACCCGTGACAAATAAATCAAAATCTTCATAAACTTCACTAAGAGGTGTATCACAAATTAACCAAGCAAGTTCACCAACTTTAGTTCCTTCTAATTGACCACCAATTAAAAATTCATGATCACCAGTTTCTTCTTCATCTTCTTCTTCCTCCTCTTCTTCCTCTTCTTCTTCTTCTTCTTCGACTTCTTCCTCTTCTTCTTCTTCTTCTTCCTCGACTTCTTCACCTTCCTCTTCATCTTCTACTTCATCTTCTCCAGTTTGTCCTCCCGAACTTCCTTTATCACTTGTTGATGGAGCACGAACATGAATTATAAACGGACTACCCTCAACTGGAAAGCCATTAAATGCAATTGTTATTAAATATTTTCCAGATGCTTCAGGTAGAAAACCAATATCAAATTTTCTTGCATGTATACTTTTAAGTTCAGCTGGTAATGTTCGTTTACCATCACTTATTGTTACTTCTAAATGTCCTTCACCAGCACCATGTGTATCAACCGTAAAAACTAATGGAATACCAATAACTCCATCATCAATTGAACTAACACGAATTTTATTTATATCAAATACATCAGCATGATAAGTTGATGCAGGTTGATCATTATATGTTATTAATATTGCATGTTGACGAGCTACATTTGGTGTAAATGTAACTTGATATCGTTTTTTTTTCATTGGAAAGTGGAATAAGTGTATGTGGAACAACACGACCACCATGAGATTCAGTAACAAGAACGGAAATAGGTTTTGATTCGATGAGATCGACTATTTTTCAATAAAAAAAGTTAATATTTCATTTCAAAAAAAGATATTATCTTACTCGTAAATGTAATTGGTTTACCAACAGTACCAGGTGGAATTTGTGGAACACGAATATCTTTACATTCACTTGTCACTGGTATTTTAAACGTACCTACTAAAAAAGACATTTTTTATATATTAACTCTAGTCATATTATATGATTTTATTCTTATTAATTCCGATACGATCAATAGTCGAAGAACAAGTTATAACAAGCTGAAACGAATCATTTTTTTATATCATAGATTAAATCGATTATCAATAAAAATTATCTTGATAGATTAAATTGACATTCATGCTTGTCATCATATTTTATATCTATTCTGTCTTGTTCAATAACATACAAAATGATTATTATACTTACAACTATCATCTCCATTAAATATTACTGAAAGTATACATTCGTCTGATGTTTCAGGTACAAAGGAAACTTCATAAGTATGAGAAGTTAAACGAGTTTGTTCATGAGTTAATCGAGTGCCATTTTGTTTAATTTTTATAGATAAATGACCATCACCAGCTTCTATTGTGTTAACTATTCGAAAAAAGAAAAGATAAAGTTAAAAATAAACATTTTTTTTGTCGTTACTAGTAAATTTGTATGGTCGATGGGGTATAGCAGGTGATAAATCATTAATATGTATTTTATTTGCATCAAATACTTGACTAATAAATTTTGCTATAATAAATTTTTTTTCTTTATCACTATAGAATACGATTTGATGATCACCGATTTCATTTGGAATAAATCGAATTGTATAAAGATTGGAAGATTTTTCTTCGATTTTTCCTTCGATTTCAGTACCAGATGGAGAAATTATATTAATAAATATATTTGGATTAAATACAGAATTTGCTTTTGGTTTAATTACAAATGATGTACGTTTATTAATGGGTGTATATTCATAGTTTTCAAATGTAAAATCACTTGAAAATACATTACATGCAAATGGAGATCCTATTTTCGAAAAAAGAAAAAAATTTGAATTAATATCGAAAAGAAGGACATCAATAGGCCATGAAAATATCCGATTATTTATCATCTACAGCTATTCGTGACCTATATTTCATCAGAATCATATAGAAGGATATATTTACCTTGATATTTTATTTTCCCTAAAGTAGCTCTATAGAAGGGCATTTTGACAATTGCTTTCTCATATACAATTGTTCATTTTTCTCATTTAAAAATTTCTACTATCATTAGATCTTTTAGAGATGTATAATTAATTGAAAACTCAACCTTGTATATCTTTTTTTGTATTTTGAGGAAATGATGAAATGTTAAAGGACATTTTTTCATTACATAAAAATTCTTTACGGTGAATTTATGTTCCAATAAAATATATATATGTATATTAATATGCAGCAAAGGTTGGAAAAAATAGTACGAAAAATTATTTTAATTGTTTATAATTAGATGTATATACATATAATATTTTCCTATAGTTTAAAGAATAGATATTTTTTTTATTACCATGAATATCAATTCCATTAAATTTAATGTGAATATAATATATTCCACTTTGATCAGGAGTAAATTTAACACGAAAACGAGCACCGCCTTCATTTTGTACATAGTTTGGAATATTTTTTTCATTAATTGATACAGCGATTTCAAGATTACCCGAACCAGAATCTGTTGCATCAACTACAAAAAATAATAAAAGATTAGATTTGAAAAGAAACTATTGAATATATTTACTAATAAAATAGGTTGCTGTATCAACAATAGCGGATGATGGGAAATCATAGACCATTACTTTGTTAACATCAAAGACTCGGGCTGTATATGGTTTTTCATCTACAGGGATATCATTATGAGCTACTTCAATTTTAAAATCACCTAAATAAGAAATAAAACATTCAACCATACTTAAAAGAAAAATTTTATCTAACATACCGACAACATCTGGTGTATAGGATACTTCGTATCGATTTGTATCCATTTTTGTTAGAATAGAAGAAATTAAATGATCGTCAGGATCTTTAAAAAAAACGATTGTTCGTTATTTCAAAGAAACGGATTTGAATTTTAACTTACATTAAATTAGTATCATTATTATTGTTAAGCTATTTTTTAGAAAAACAAAACACCAAGAAAAAAAATAAAGCATTAAATTATCTATACTGCTTGAGACCATTACCAAAATATTAGATATTTAAAAAAAAAAAAGAAAACTAAGAAGAGCAAACATTTCTACTTCACCTTTTATAGAACATTTCAAGTCTCCAACGCCGGCATTTTGTGTTAAAATTGTAAATGATGTTGGAACATTAACAGGTACAGATCCTAAACCTTTACCAAATACTACAACACGTTGTGTGTCCATGACACTGACAGCAAATGGACTTCCTTAATAAAAGACAATATATTTATTTAAAAACAAAATCAATTAATTATTTCTATCACGTTTATAGTCAGTGAAACCATCGTCATAGATATAAAATTCTCTATCCAACCATGAACTACATGGACAACCGCTCGAGATGCAACAACACATTCTTGCTTATGATTATGACATGTGTACATAACATTCGATCTCATTCATTTATATGTTTTTTTTTCTTCTTCTTCGTCTTCTTTATTATTATTCATTATATGAAAAGCTTTTGAACGTGATCAATCTTTGAAGAATGTCAAAAAAGGGAAATACCTGTAGATGAATGAACCAAGGATGATGTCCCATCATCGTCAACTACTGGATGATCAACACTAAGCATTACACACGCGTATGCTTTCTTCCTATCTAGTATTTGAAATGAATTGAAAATTGAATTGTTTCGCTTACTCATTCATTCACTTTCTCGCTTAGTAAAGTTGATGCGCTTGAGAGAGCTGCACATATACATTCATGTCCACTTTCGCCTTTTTCGTTTTGCTTCGCCCACATTTTTTTTTCTCGTTCACCTTTATAATGGCATGTCTATGCATCGTCAGTTTTTGTTTGCGCTCTCATTTACTCACATATGGACAACAAAACAAAGATGATGACTAACGATATATCATAAAGGAAGAAAAAAAAAGTCTAACAAAATGATATTTATTTCTTTACCTAATAACGTATTTTATAAAGGATTAATTATGCGTCACTATAAAATACGTTCTATATACGTTTTTATCATATTTTAAAAAGATGAATATGAAGAAAACAACGTATCAATCTTGAATACAGGTGATGATCGATCATTAGTATACGGAAAGTCAAATAAAAAAATTTGACGTGATATTTATTTTTTTTTCTTCTTCTTCTTCTTCTGATTACTAAATTTATTTACTATTATTTACCTGGTACAGGTTCGCCATTAAATAGAACATTACAATAATGTATTGCAGCTTCTTGTGGAGTAAATTGAACTTCGAAGCGACTATTACCAATAGGATTAACTTGATTTGGAATATTACGACCGGAATAATTTACACTTATTTCAAGATTTCCTTCACCTGCTCGAGATGCATCAACTATTCAAAAAAAAAATAAATAAAATAAAAAGACTAAATATAAATTTACCTAGAAATCTTGTTGGTTTTCGTACTGAACTATCACCAGTTGGTGGTGTAATAACAATATTTTGTGGATCATAACATTTAACACGAAATGGACTTCCAGGTACAGGATTGTCAGCGAATTTAACATGAACAGTATAAGTACCAACTTCAGATGGTATCCAATCAACTCGAAGACCATCTGCTGTAAGACGTGTTGATGGAGTTAATTCTTCATTGTTTGGTGTAAGTACAGTTACTTTAACATCGCTTGATTCACCATTTGGTGTTTCAATTGTAAACCATGTTTGAGCACCGAGTAATGCTTGACTAAGACCAGGACCACGAGTTGTTATGTCATCGGTTGAAAATATTTGACATTCTTTTGGAAAATCTATAGATTTTGTATTTAATACAATATAGTTATTTATTTCGAAATAGAATATTTTTTACCTGATAATTGATGACCATTGAATTTAATGGAAACAAAATGTGGATCAGTTGTTTTTGGTATAAATGTAAATAGGAATTTTGAATTACCCAATGCTTTTACTTGATTTGGTACTAACCCATCATTAATAGCAACTTCAAGTTGACCTTCTCCTGCTTTTGATGCATCAATTGTAAATTCTACTGGCTGATTGTATGTAACAAGACGTGGAATATCCGAGACAATTAAACGATTTGAATCAAATGCTTTGAGAGCAAATGGTGAACCGTTAATATCCATTCTACCGCTACTATTATTATTCGAACGGATGTCAACACGATGTGTGCCTAAAAACGACAAACAAAAAAAATGAAAGAAACTAACTATCTCATTGTCTGAAAATTCATATCATATTATATTACAACATGTTTGAATGAGAAATAATTTAATTAAAATAAGAATATATATTGTGTGATGTGAAATTGTATTCAAGGAAAAACAGTCGTACCTTTCTCTTCTTCGAAATAAATAATGTCTGCATTTAAACGACATAGAGAAAGAGAAAGATAGAGAGAAAAGAGAGGTGGAAACCACACTGGTGTTTTCTTTTCGTCATCCTTTTCTTTTCGATCTATATAACGTACTTGAAGGCCTGTCTGTATGCATATCAAACAACAACGACGACGACGAGAAAAGGACGAAAGAGATGTGCCATTCTCTATATGTGTATGTATGAAAGTTGAGTGTATATCGAAAGAGAGAGAGAGAGAGACGTTTGTATGCCCTTGATTTCGTATACAAGTAGTGAAACAATTGTTACATCAATTAATACAATGAAAATTGATTTTTTTTTTAAATTAATAGTGTACTGTATCTGATTTGAATTTGAACAAATCATTATATTTGTCATCGAATTTATAAGGCTTCAAACCTTCAACATTTATGTAAAACAAAAAGTAAAGCCGATATCCGATGACCTACCATCATCATAAGTTTGTTGTAATGAACGACGTCGATATAATTCTAAACGTTGTTTACTTTTTTCTGTAAAACTTAAACGTCGAGTAAAATTTTGTTCAGATTCATCATCATCTTCAACTAGCATTATTTAAACAATTGTCAAATGTTTCGTATCCGATGACATGATCATTATTATCTTTCTTCTTCTTCTTTTTTTCTCCTTTCTCTTTTGTTATTTACTAACTTACCGATCTCATTTAAAACATAATCAATACGTGTAATACTTCCGTTCAATTGTGACCGTGTAAAAGGAACAGAACGACCCGATGGAGCTTGTAAAAAAACAATAAAAAAATTCAAATCTAATTAATAAATTCTAATTTTACTAGTTATAGCAATATGAAGTTTAGCAGATTGATTATATTGATCATTTATATCCCAATGATATATATCAAATGATAATGGAACTCCTATAGGAGCACTTGTTAAACTATCCGATACGGTCACACGAGATAAATCATTAATAAAACATGAAAATGGACTACCTAGAAAAAAAATATTTGTTTTTTTTCTTTGCATGCATCCTTTCATATTAATTAATTACCTGGTACAGGTAATCCATTAAATTTAACATCAATCGTATGCAATCCAGGTATACTAGGTAAAAATGTGGCTGCAAATCGAAATGAATCATATGGTATAGCTTCACATGGTAATAATCCATCTTGAATAATTATTTCTAATTGACCAATACCAGCTTTACTAGCATCAATATCAAATTTAACTAAACAACCAACAGTACCACCATCAAGATTTGACACATGAATTTGATTTATATCGAATATATTAACTTTAAATGGACTTCCACTAACAAGTTCATCACCAAGAAATATATCAATATAACTTTCACCAACTTCATTTGGTATATAACTTACAGTCCATGTACCATCACGATTATTAATAACTTGCATATCACATGGATTTTTAGATGGGCCTATAATATTAAAATAATAATAATAATAAATGTAAATATTCTTACTAGTAACGACAACTTTAACATCATTTTCATCATCTATATTCGATATACCACGTGCATCGACGATAAATGCTGTTTCAATACCAACTTGACCTTGTTGAAGACCATCACCATATGCATAAACTGAATTTACTAGATTTTGTTCATTACTTTTCGTTTGATTTTCTATAGTTTAAATAAATTAATTAGATTATAATATTTTAATTCGTTTTATTTCTTCTCTATTTCAAATATTAAATCAATACTTACTTGATTCATCATTATTCTCAATATGCCCATAATATTTCACACGTTTTTCATATCTGTACATATACATTGTAATATTAAAAAAAAATATTTTCTATGTGTATAAATCAATAAAAAATGATCATAATTATGTTGAATAAAGAAGATGAAGAAAACATTTTATTCGTTCATATGATAATCTTCGTCTTCTTCTTTTTTGTGTGCGTGCGACATAGTCGGTTATGTTCTATCTTCTGTAAATAAAAACTTTATCGATCGTATTGGCGCTATAGATACTCATGAATTAGATGATTTTATCGGTAATCAAAAGAATATATATACTTCTTCTTCTTCTTTAGTGATTCAATCAATCTAATTTATATAATATTGATGAACATATATAAAAACGTGGAAGAACATAGTAGACGTATAACTAAGAGGATTTACACATTCAATTTTATTGATAAAAAAAAGAAGAAGGAGAATCGATAAAGAAATTTGGACATTGATATTTGTTTGAAGATTATATGAAAAATGAAGACTGATATTTTTCACATCTGGTTAACCTTTTAATTATCGACAGGTGTATTTCGAGAAACAAAAAATAAATGAAAATTATACTTACTAATAAACAAACGTCGAATATACATATGTACTTGTTAATGAATTGTTATAAATTGTAAACGTTTACATATTACATATGATATAGACGAGAGTTATATTCACACTAATATTTGTCGTTGTCTTCTTCTTCTTCTTCATCTTATCATATTAGACATTTGTTGTACAATGTTTGAAAACATGAATTTGATCGATATATACCTTAGTATATTTAACGAGTATGTGATTTATCAACAAGTGCATCATTCTTTCGAAGCGACTAAAATTATCTAGTTGTCATATGCTGATTCTTATCCTATTAATCATACGATCTGTACAAATGCAAGTGACATATTTTTTTTATAGGGCATTGAACATCTTGACATGTATACATATCTTTTTGTCATAAGACACAATAAAAAAAAAACGAGAGAGAGAGTCAAAATAAATCTCGATTGTCTAAGATATTGTAGAGTGAAGAGATTTCTCTATGACATTAGATATAAATCCGAGTCTATCTATGTAACAATGACAAGATGTATTGTTTATAAGTATTGAACTTCAGTAGACAAAATCATAATCGATAAAAAAAATGTCTCGTATTACTTTTGAGTCTAATGTTTTAAACTAAAACCACACAACATTAATTCAATTTGATTATATAGAGATGAAATACTATGTAAATTGAAATAAAGAATATCAGTTAATTATATAAGAATATGATAAACTGATAATAATCAACATTTTATATTATTTTTACCGAGTAATGAAGGGCAATATTCAGTCAATGAATTATACATCTACAATTCCTTATAAACTACATTTTATATATTTTTTTTCATCGTACTATCGTTTTTTTTTCTATTGGAGTTATTCTTTGTATTTAAATGTGTACATAGTATTTGGCCTTTGTCACATAGATATCAATCAAATGAAATTAGTATTGTATAGTTATCATTCATATGATCTACAGCTTAAAAGTAACATTAGATTATTGTATTACAAATCATATGCATACATATTTGAACAATACATTTACAAAAGCCAAAGATATTTTATGTCGATCATTTTTAATATGAAGTTATTAATCATTTTCTCAATAATAGAATTTCAAAATTTATTTGCTAATAAAATCTATTTTTCATGATGGTGTTTTCAACAGTTTATATCTAATTAATGATTTAAATTGCATTATAAATTCTGTTTTATACTGATTAAACTTTATGTTATGTGTAATCATCTACTTGCGATTGTTTAATACTTGTTATGATGCATTATTTCATTTATCACTTTATTGACAATCCTTTGAGATTGATGTACTAATGTCCTTTTAAGATCTAACAGCTAATCTGTTCTATTCTTTAAATATTATTTTTGATATGTCATCTTGCTAATCTTTGTATTTACAAAAAGTAAAATTATGTCATCAACTATTCATACTTGTTGCGATGGCAACAGTCATATATCTACAAATATTTTATCATTATATCTCTTATTTCATCATTTATGTTAATAAACTATTAATATATATGAAAGTTATTTAGACAGAAAATTGTGCATATCATTATTCTCTTGATTTAATCATAAGTCACAAGGAGTTATAATATGTCTCTTGGGTTATCTAATGGTGAGTACTTTTATTTGTATATCATAAGATATTGTAATGAATTGAATTTGATAGATGTAAAATTCAATGAATCAGTACCACATTCTAATTCTACTATTCAAGGCGTACAACATCATTCAACTTGGCATCCAACAATTGTATCTAATCGTGATCATCCTATGCCTTGTACTTGTCCAAATTGTCATCAATCAATTCTAAATAGAATCGAAAAGACGAATGGTGTAATTATATGGCTTTCTGCAGGTGCACTCTGTGCATTCGGATGTTGTCTAATTCCATTTTATATTGATAGTCTTAAAGTATGAAAAATTCATAATGAAATCATATTGTTTAATTTTATATCTTTATACGATACAACTCATTATTGTCCAAATTGCAGTACAATAATTGCACGTAATAAAATATCATAGAATTAAATATTCTTATTATATATATGGAATAAAAATAAACTACAGAGCATCTTTTTCGGTTATATAAAATCTTATTTTTGACGTGATTTTACATTTTATTACCTTGTTTTTTAGACAATATACATAAATAAATAGATAAAAATTTCTCTTTCTCGTAGAGAAGAGTCCAATAAACATAAACTATCTGATTGATTACTTGCTTGTCTGTCCGCAAGGTCAAAAAAACATCGAAAACTGATTTTTCGAAAAAGATATTTTTAGAGATATTTCGATGCGGGGACTTGGAATTTGAGGTCTGTTGAGCGAACATGATGATGGGGGAGGGGTGAAGAGGGTGCAAAGGTCAAAAAAACATTCGAAATTTATTTTTCAAGGTTTTCAATTGTTTTTTCAATAAATGTGAAGAGGATGCATTTGTACGAGAAAGAGCTGAGCGAGTTCTCGGATGAGCGTTACTTGTTATTATTGTTGTTTTTTATACATATATAATGATACTGACGTAACCAGAGGTTAACTAGCCAGGTCACCGTTAGTCTTTGTACAAGTACTGGAAGAAAGAAAAACGAGTAATTACCATTATTTACATTATTTTTTATGCATTTTATTCAAGGACTATGAGGGCACTACCCGAGTACTTGCAATGTTCTGGTTACGCTACTAATGTATGAGTTGAAATTTTTTATTGAAATACATAACATTTGTTAGGATTTGTTACAGTCATATCTTCATATGCCTTCACACATTCTTTCACATCATATCTGGTTTTTCGTTATTCACATTCTTTGTTTCTTTTTCGTACTTTTGTTATCCATTCAAATAAAACACAACGTGAAGAGAGGGTCCTCTCATGGGTTTGAATTAAGTTTTCAATAATTTTATTTTGTTAAAGTATTTGATGATAGCTATACATCAAGTCATGATTTCTCTCGTTTATATACTAATTTTATTTTCATGGATACAAAATTTTGGTAATGCACAAACATCGATTAGAGAGAATATGATACCATTTTCTCAATCTAATAAAAATATATCATTTAAACAAAATTATCATCGGTTACAAGAACATTTATGCATATTTGATTGTACATTTACAATACCATTTAATGAATCATTAGTCATACCTTCGAATTGTCAACAAGCACTAACAACAAATCCATGTGAAGTTGATATTATAGTAGAATTAACTATGAAACGGACAACATTTGCTTTTTTGAATAAAACAAATGATTCACTTATCAATGGTTTAGAAACAGATACTTTTTCTGTAGAATTAGTCAATTTTGAATTTGAAAAAAATTTAATAACCGATATTTTAGCTTATAAATGTTCACATGGTGATAAATGTGAATGGAATTATATACAAAAAAAGATTCCTAAAGTAATTAGTATGAATTATCAACCATTATTGGATTCATTATCACCATTAATTTATGATAAAAGTTTGGTATCAAATGTTTCACATTGTCATTCGTTGAATGAATTAGTTAATTGTCAAATTGGTGTATGTGAATATATGCAAACTCTTGATCATAGTAGTTTAACATTACCTAGTATTCGTCAATGTTCAATTTCTGATAGACCATCAATTTATTTTGGACAATATCAATATATACCTGATCCAATGAAATATACATTTGATTATTTATATTTTACATGTAATAAAAATCAATGTAATAGTCCATCAAATGAACGTGCTATTAAATATTTAATTGGATATAGTAATCATAAAAATATTAGTGTAATGAAAAAAGGACATTTCTATCTAGTTTTTAGTTTTTATCTTATTATTGTAGTATCGATAAAAATGATTTAATTTTATAGAGAATAAAAATTTTAAAAAACTATTTTTATAGATTTTATGAATAATAGAAATCAATAAAAGATAAGATTAGAGGTGTAAGCCGCCGCCGATTACCCTACCGGCTTATACATCTATGTATAACTAGAATTTCATTTTTCTTTGTAATAATTTTTAAAACATATTTCATAAATTTTGAATCAAGTGCTTTTTTTTTAATCGACGGAATGACTGTCTTGCTTTACATAACAAATAATGAACATCAATAATAATAATAATAACAACAACAACAACAACAACGAAGGAATAGAATATAAGTGTGTAAAGATACATCATGTGCAATCACTGTTGGCCTACCAATCGTAAAAATATAAACGCAGCAAAGAAAAAAGATACACATAGACATACATGAAGATATTTAGTAGGAAAAGTTCTATTGACAGTCCACAAAGGAAAGAAAGAAAATTTGCCGTTTAATAAATATTGATTATTATGTAAATGTAGAAATCACCGGATAAAGATAAGGACGGAGATAACTAGGAAGGATTAAGACAATGGTGAGATCGTATCTCGAAGATGTGTAAGTAAATCAGAGTATAATTTTTCTGTATTTGATTCATTAATAAACGCTTGCTCGAATTGACGTCGTTGTTCAATATTATTTAACTAAAATAAAATAAAAATAGATTTTTAAAAATCTTCTTTATATATGTATAGATTATTTTTTAATACCTGCTGATAATATTCACGACCAGCAAGAAGAAATAGACGATTATCTAATTCTTCAAAACGTGCACTATAACGTGATAAAGCTAATGGAAACCTAAAAAAATAAAATAAAAGATCAATATGTATTATTCTATAAATCAATTCTTATCTTCCTAAAGTATTTCCTTTGAAAAACTTTTGTCTTTGTTGACAAATTTTAATTTTGGAACAACGGACTACTATTTACTGAAAGGCTAAATCCCTACTGGGATTGAAATCAAAACATAGCTCATATATTAGAATAGAATGTCATTAATGTATATAGTCCTTGAACTAGCATCAACAATATTGTACTAATGATAGTTGCTTGTTGAAGCATTTCTGAATGGTAATATGCATGTCTGTCTCAGTCTATGACCAATATTCTATTACGAAGTTTTCTTAACTATGAGATTAATAATCAGTTTTGAAAATACTCATTATTCGACGAACTAGTGAAATAATTAACGAAACCTTGATTAGTTACTAAGCGGTTAATTAATAAAATGTCTGTCACAGTCTACAACGCATGGGTAAGAATTATTAGTATTGGTCATGGTCTATGACACATTGGTAAGGATTACTACAATGTCGGTCACAGTCTGTGAAGAGTAATGAATGCAAATTTTTAGCTCTCTATACGTCAACACTTTCTTTCAGATCATGTTTCACAAAATCATACATAAGCAAAAATATAGAATTTCGTATGTTCAAAAAGACTATCTGAATACTTACAATGAATCAGCAATTGCATGCGATGGACATGCACTTAACATAAGACATGTTAATCCCCAAATAGCCATACGTATTGGTTTTCTTTGTGCAACACTTGTCATTGATAATAAAGTCCATTCATTAACTTTAGCTAAATAATGTGCATTAATTAATGCTCGAAAAACAGCAAAAACTGTATAAGCAAGTATTTGAGGATATAATTGTTGTGTTGATGCAGCAAATTCTACAACCATTTTATTCATTAAACGATCTGATAAACCAATATGTGCAAGTAATGATGGTAATGGACGAAGAAGAAGTATAGCTTCATATGGTAATGTACTTGATTGTTTTGTACGTTCATATAATTCTCCAACAAGTTCAATAACAATATTATCTGATGATGATGTAATTGATGATCCATCAATCATTTCTTGTTCATCATGTGTATTTTCATTATTTTGTGCATTAGAATTTTCATTTGTTGATTGTAATAATGTATAAATACGTGCAAGTATTAAAACAAGATGATTAAGATTTAACCATGTTGATTGACGTAATGTCGTAATTGAACGTTTATATAAACGCCAAATATCATTTTTTGGATATTGTCCAAGAAGTAAAAGACGTTCAAGACCAATAGATACAATTTCTTGTGTTAAATTATCATTAATATCTAATAATTCATCTTTAAATAATAAGGATAATGTATCAAATGAATTTATTTGATTATTTTCAATTAAATAAAATAAATTAGCTAATATTAAACTATTTAAACGTATATCTAAATTTAATTTTAATGTATTCGTTTGTATATCATTCGTTAATTCTTGATTTAATATTGGTATTAATAATTTATTTAAATCATCTTCATGACTTTCAAGTAAAAATAAACATGATGCATATGCATTTGTTTTAGTTAAAAATTTAAAATTACGTTCAATTAAATTTTTATAAAATTCATTCGAGTCTTTTCCTGTTTGACCAAGAAGAATACCTGATTTACATAAACCATAACTTATTAATGATATCATTAAATCATCTTCTTCAAACCATGTACTATGATATTTAGCACATATATCATATAAATTTGTTAATTGTTGTGATGATGTAAATAAATCCGAAAGATATATAAATGAACGAATTAATTCATATTTTAATTGAAGACATAAATCATTTGAATTGTTTGTTAACCAACGAACATAAATTTCAATTAGAATTTGTAAAGATGATGTTAAATCAAGACCATGATGTGAAAATAAACGATCAAATAAACTCTACATAAAAGAAATATATTCATTCATCTATCATTCAAGTTAAAACTTACATTTGCTGGTAATGGTGATGCATTATTACTTTGTATAGATGCCAATATAGTATCATATGAAAGTTGTCCATATGTTAATAAATCATGTGTACCTAGTCGTTCAATATTTGTAAATAAATCATTTGAACTTGTCTCTAATGTTGAACGTGTTCGAATATATTGATCACCAATATCAGTCAATAAAAATTGTATAGGTTTATTTCGAGATCGATGTTCAAGAATCATATCAGCTGGATTGCCTGTGCAATTGAGGCGAAGAGCATTTAATAGAAATGTTGTTACACCACGAACCCATACACTATAATAAAGAAAAAATAAGATTAGATTTATTTCTAATTTTATCAATAGAAACTATCATATTCTATAATGAAGAAAAACATCTGATTTCAAAGTCTATGCTCGTCATTTGAAGTTGTATATTCAGAGCGTAATCCATAAGAACACTAATGGCAATTAATTCTGAAGTACTTGCTTTTCACACATAGTTAATTTCAGGCCAATATTTTTCTGACTTAATCATTGCGAACATGGCAGAAGTAATCTATGCTGACGAGAAACTACTAATAGGTATGTATTATTCACTAATGGATTTCGGATAGACATGACCCAAACCCAAACTGTTTGAGTCTGGTGAGTTTGGGTTTGGGTATATGAGTTTGGATTTGAATATTGAGTTTGAGTTTGAGTTTGGGTACTAAACCCAAACCCCCAAACAGTTTGGGTTTGTCCTATTTTAATCTGTAGAAGACACTATTTTCGATACATTGATGGCAATTAAAAGAAGACCCAAACCCAAACTCCCAAACAGTTTGAGTTTGGGTTTGGTCATGTCTAATTACGGATAGCGTCTGTTCAAATTAAAACTATCATATATATAAATCTTTACCATTGTGTTGCATTTGTTTCTAAAATTTCTTCTTTTGTTAAAGTATTTGGTATTGATTCATTATCATCATTAGTTTGACTTGGTGGATTAATAGCAGCTAAAAATGTAACCCATATTTCTTGAAATTGTGTTCGTGATAACCATCCAACAAAGGATATACGTTCAATATAATCTGCCATTATATCTGAATGTTGTAATAAATCAACAGAAAATAATGATAAACAATAATCATTTTGACCAAATTGTAATTTATTTGTACGTTCTTTCCAAAAGTGTGTTGGTATACGTATAAATGAATTAAATATTGGTAAACGAAATAATAATATAGCTATTGTTCGTAAATAATATCGATAAAAATGTGGAATATATTTAATTTCTTTTGTTAATTTATATAAACAATCAAGATCATTAAATGCTAAAAGTAAATACTGTGTATAGGGTCGATTATCTGGTTCAATTAAATTCGTAAATGATTGTAATAATTGTTTTGTTTGTTTAATTGGAAGAATTAAACCATATCGTTTATAAAGATATTCAAATATTGATAGAATTGTTTTTGCTAATGTACAACATGATATTATTTGATCTGTTACACAAAGTAATTGATAAATAATTGTATTTGGATTATGTATAGTTTTTGTTAAACATCGAAAAAAACTTTCAATTAAATTCCAACTAAGAAATGGTTTTTTTTGTAAAATATTTATATAGATTATTTCAGAAATAAATATAAGAAAACGTAATAAATCACGTATATCACCCGCTGAAAATTGACAAGTTAAGTCTGTATGATTTTGAATGGTTTCGAAATAAATATACATAGAATCGATTAATGCAATTAAATATGGTTGATTAGCAGAACATGATAAAAGACTTTTAATATAAATTGAATCAGGTGTTGATTCATCATCATTAAAATTAATTTCATTCGATATTAATCGTTGTGCTGGTAATGAAAAACATAGATCATTGATTTTTTTAATTAATGCACTTGTTGAAGCACGCCACAAAGACGGAATCTTAACACCAAGAAGAAGACAATGTGGCATTGATAACCAAACAAAATCCTAGAAAAAAACAAAAGATTTTATATCCCGAAAGTTCCGCATGCCCAAGTAGCTGCTAGTCTGATTAGAACCTCTGATACAAAACACTTTGTAACTTGTTTTGTCAGGTTTATTCTAGTTTCTATTGTATAAATTCTGGCTATCTCTCAAATTGAGTATATTTCTTCTTTCCAGTGTCTTATCTAGTGGGTGGCGCCCACCCGAAATACGGGACTTTCACAAAGCACTATTAGGCGACGCCCACTCAGCATTTTCGTTTCGCCCACCCGAAAAAAGAAACCTGGATAAAACACTGCTTTTTTCTATTATGATCTTTTCTTGAAATGAATTATAAACCTACTGGTGACATCATAAATGGTAATAATTTTTTATAGACAACATTTTTAAGCATTTGTGCATAAATTTTTGGTGTTATATCCATTGGACAATGAATATTTCTTATCCAATTAAGAGTATGATCTTCATCATTACTATTCAGATTTTTAAATTCTGGTTTAACAATATCAAATGAGATCGTTGGTTTATAATCAATTTTTCCAATTAAACGTTGTATAAGTGCCCATAAATGTTCATTTGATTTCATATCATGTTTATTATTTGTTTGTGATAATGTTAATGCTTGTAAAATTAATGGTAAATTTCTTGGCATTAATTGATTATGTAATATTTGTTCATCAAGTGTTAACATCATTTCAATACGTCGACAAACAATTAATTCCGTTAAACGTAATACTGATATATATGGTAATGTAAGAAATTGTTCAATTAATAAAACTAATAAAAGACCACTTTCATCTAAATGTATACCTTCAAGTGTACGAAGAATTTTTAAGGATAATAATATTTTATTTCGTTTTAATAAATGATCCCAATTTGTATAAATTGATTCAACAAATAAATGACTTGCAGCAGGTGTACGATGTATAAGACCAAATAAATTATGTACATATGTACATGTATCACTTTGTTCAAATAATAAAAATAATAAATGACGATGTGTTATTATTGATGTTAAATGTTCAACATATAATTCATGACGACAAATAAGATCACAATAGGATTGTAATTGACCACTTATTGATAAATGTGTTATTAAAGATGATGGAGTTGGTATTGATAACATTGATGACCACCAAGGTTCTTGTGTATGATCAAGAATATTAAGTATATGTGTCCATTGAAGTAATAATGGAATGTAAAATGATGATAGAAGTTTAAAATATTCACTTAACATATTTAAATATGAAAATGAATCAAGACGATGAACTGTTTCATCACTTTCATCATGAATTAATAATTGACTAAAATCATTTACTATTGTTCGAAATTGTTTAGCTAAAACGAAAAACGAATATTTATAAGAAAAGATCTTTTTGTTATAGAAATCTCGTTTGTCCTATTAAGAAAAATGTATTTCACTACTATAGAGATTTCTTTACCATTTTCAATAATATATATAATTAAATAAAGATAATCGGATGTAAGAGCAACCAATGTCATATCAATTTGTCCACGTGATTGTCGAGTATTAGTTAAAAGACGTAATACAATATCATGTAAAATACGAAGTAAAGCTCTAAATGAAATCATGAATACGAATAAATATATGTATTTTTTTAGAAATCATTTTTTGTATACTTACGCACTAAAAGTTTCATCACGTGTACCACCATTAGCTGATGATATAATATCTTTCCATCGTGTTAATATAGCATCTTCTGTTGAATTTTGAATAAGACATCGAAGAATAATATTAATATTCATTAACCATCGACTAATTGTATGACGATCAAAATCCTAGAAATAAATTCATATGAATAGAATTTTAAAACTAAAGAAAAAACAAACATTTCTATTTGCTAATGAATGAAAAGCAGCAACAAATGGATCAATTGGACGTAATGCAACTGATGATACAACATCAAATAATGTTAATTGTGTTGAATAAATATCTAATAATGATTGACCCTAATAATTAAACGATATTTCATTTTTTTTGAGATTTAAATTATTATTTAAAATAAACCTTGTATGAAGCAACAAAAACATTCAATTGTATCTGACCAAGAAGTGCATCAACAATTTGTCGTGAAAGACGTTTCCATTTATCAACTTCACTTCGAACACTATCAAGAATAACCGTAAGTAATTTTAAAGCCTAGAAGAAATAATAAATATTAATTGATTCAACATATATTTGTTATTAAATTACTTTATTATATCGAACAAGTTTCACTAATGTTTGAACAATAACCATTCGTTGTGCTTCTAATTCTTTATTATCAGTTTTAAGTCGAACAAGAAATAAATCATATACAACTGGTTCTAATGCTGATAAGGCTAAAAAAGAGAAACATCAGAATTTCGTTTATATAAATAAACAAAATAATGAAATCTTTCTGTTACCATGTGTTTCAGGATCATGTCCACTTGCTAATAATAAATCACCATGTTTTATTAAATCTTGTACTTTAATAACTTGTTTCGAATGAAGTGTATCATGTGATAATATAACAAGAAATTCTGCAATACGGTAAATAAAATGTGCTGATACATCAAAACCTGATATGGTATCTTCAATCAGTTCAAGTTGTGTAGTTATATGAGTAAGAAAATGCTAATAATAAAAAAGAAAAATAGTGTTAATAAGATAGTGGTGATTTCACCGGAAATCTCCTGTGTTATACAAAAGTATTTACAGTAGTGCTGAAAGTTTCAGTCCTGTTATAAGTACGTCTGTATAATGTGGAAGATTTCTAGTGAAAATACCGGTAAATAATAAGAACTAACTTCATCGGCATCTAATAAACTATAATTAACACGAAGTAAAAGTAATTGAACGAGTAAATTAAGTACAGCTGCTTGAAATTCAGTTTCATTTGATATAACATATTTTTTAAGACTAAGAATAACAATTGTTTCGAATGAACGAATGTAATTACCAATTTTTGTACGTTCATTTCGATTTGGTGGACGTTTTATATGTTCAATTGTTTTTCGTTGTTTTGCAGTTAAATAAAATCTAAATGAAAAAGAAACATGAAAGATCATTTTTTTTAAACTTGTAATTTTTTACTCTCGAATGTTTGTATTTTCTATTGATTGATCACTATTAATACTTGATGTATGACGTGATCCAAATAAATACATCATTGGATGTCGAATCGTTATTGTATGAATATTTGTTAATGAATTATTAGTTGTTGTTTGTGAAATAGGATTTATTACAGGTTTCATTTCAGCAGAGGATGAACTCGTCGCTAACTGATGAATATTTTGTAAAAACTAAATAAAAATATCGAATGATATTATATTATAAATTCCCATCGGAATATGACCCAAGAAGTCAATAGTCGGATTCCCAGACTCATTTGCTAAATTTCTCTCTCTCTCTCTCTAAAATCTCGCTATTTTTTCCTTGATAAATTGCTTTCTAATACTATGTAATGCACAACACGAATATAAATCAACAAGTAATATAATACTTCGGCGCTAGGACAGAACTTCGTATCTCATTTTAGGGTTCAAAAAAAATTGCCAGTAAACCGTTGATGTTGAACACTGTATGTATGTGGGATGTGGATATTCGATGTACCCTCACGGATTCATACGTCTGCGATGTTTTCTCCATCTGACGTTCTATCCGGCCACTAGGGATGCAACGATTACGGTTTTTCACCGCTTAACCGTATATAGTTAACCCTTCTAAAGCAATAACCGATCCAATAGAAAAACCGATTAAATGAAAACCGTTGTAGTAAAAACGATAACCGGTGTGAATCGGTAAACAGTAATACGATATAAGAATATGAATATTGATGCCTATATGGTGATATTCCTTATTCTTATTAACAATAAAGCAAATGATATTACTAGTTTCTCCAATTACTAACCAACATGTCAATATCGCTTTATAATTATATGAATTATCAAAAAATAAAAACAGTTGCCGGCCTGTATCGGTTTTCGTTTAACCGTTTTTCGTCTTAGGCCGGTGACTGCCATCGTTGAACTCCTACCGGCCACCAATACTTTTGAATTCGTATCTAAACCGTATTATTGATACTTTCAAGCAAAACTTTTCTATCACAATATGATAAATCAAATTCAGATAATATCTTCTTGATATTTTAGCAACTATTCGTTCGATCATGCTTAATGGTAAAGAATAATTCAAATTTTTATTAGACACAGCTTTTTCAAAACTGCTAATATAAGATTCATTCGAAATTTAATTTTTAATAATCGAACTTACTTCTTGTGTACATAGAATTGTATTTATTTTATCAATATTAAATGTTGATTTAAGATAATTAAGTGTTTCGTCTAAGTGTTTTGAAATATCTTGTATTGAAACAAGATTTAAAACTGATCTCATACAAATTAATGTTGTTGATAATAATTGTCCAAATCGATCTGTGTCAGATGAACTTATTACAGCTTTATGTGTTTGATATGATGCACGTATTAATTCAAATAATTTCATCATTGATGGATTATTTCCAAATGCACCTAATTGTGTTCGAGTAAGTTTCTTATCTTTATCTATACTAAGTGTTGATGATATAATCGATGAATCTTTATTTGTTGTTAATGAATTTGTTCCATCATTATTAATAATATCTTTATCTTTATTTGAATCAGTATTACTTTCAAAACGTTTTTTTAACTGTTGTGGTGATGCAGGAATTTGCGGAAAATTTATTTTTGATATTGCTGGTGCTGGCGGCGATGTATCTTCGACAATACAAGCGAATATAGATAAAATTCTAACAAATAAAATAAATATAATTTTCGATATAAAAATTATTTCCAATTTTTTACTTAATTAAAAAATGAAAAACTTTTTCTATTGATTGAATATCAATTACTTCATTTGTATAATTTGATAAATCTATTCAAAATCGAAAATTATTATTTTTTTAATTTAATTTTTCTAAAATCTTTTACTTATGAATAATGCGTTAAGAATATCGAATAATATTTGTAGATTATTAAGATCATGTAAAATAAATGGATGTTTAAAAAAATGTATAAGTAAACGAAGTTCATCATATTGATTATGAAAAAATGATCGAACTGTTGTTGGTGTTAAAACATTTACTAACGCCGATATACCTTCTAAACATCCAACCTAAAATTTTAAGCATAGTTTTTTGAAAGCAAATAAAGAAATTTAACAAACAATTTGTATTCGAGTTGATGATTGAGCTAAACGATCAAATATTAAAGTTGATAAACATGAAATTGTTTCACATTGTGATTCAGTATTGGAAACAATTATGGATGGATTTGTTGGTTGTAGCGAACGATGTGTTGTATAAATCCATTGACAAGAAGAATTAATCCATTTAAGTAAGGAATGTATTGGCCATTGACAAGGTAAAAATGAACTATGATCGACAAATCTATGATAAGAAAATACATTCTAGAGAACATATTAGAAGAAGTTTGATGATATACATACTTAGCAAAAGTAGTAGCTGCTACTTGACGAACACGTGCATCTTCATCTGCAAGAAATATCAAGATAATATCCATACATCGATCAAGCCATGATCGATTCTATATGAAATCAAAGAATATTATGTAATTGTATTTAATGTAAGAAAATTTACAGTTTTTTTCACTTGTTGTTGTTGTTCAAGATACGTTAATATACGAAAATCAATTTCACCAATAAGTTGTGCTAAAGCAACCTATGAAATAGATAAGGATGAAAGAAGATAAATTATTTTAGATAATAAATTAATTAAGCACTACTTTAGCAAGTATATATGTGTTTGAACTATGTTGTATAGCATCTTCTAGTAATTCAATAGCTATTATTGTCAATGCATGACTATTAGTTAATAAAACTGGTAATAATGTACGTAAAGCATTTAAAGAAACATGTATCACACGTGCACTATCATCATTCAAACATGATCGAAATGTTGAAAGTAATTCAGCTAAAATACCTAATTGTATATCTTCAAAAAAAAGAAAAAAAGATAATAATGATAAATAAAGGAAAATATTCTAACCTAATCTTGAACTTTCTTGTGAATCAGTTGAAACAAGCGAACATTGATTAATAAATGAACTATGAAATGAACTTGATAATGATGATATGGGTGGAGATATTGTTAGAAGATGAACTGTTGTTTGAATTAATTTAGCAAGTAAATTAGCGCATGCACCACGTAAATGTGGATCATCATGTTCACGTAAAGATAAAAGATATGTAATAACTAAAAGAAAATAAATCAATATTTAATACACTGTAAACTAGAAAATAAGTTACAGAGTTTTTTGAAGGATATTCTAGAAATGCCTATATGAATTCAACTAACATTTTACAATTACTTGAAAATCATTAACCCCCACCCCCTATATTAGAAACCCCCTCTGAGACGAGCAATGTGTTTGGCGTGTCAGAAGCCCTCCTAATTTTTTCAAAAGAGTTTTTGAGAGTTTTTGAGAGTTTTCCTGTCAAAATTTCTCGATTTTAAGGTGAAGTTTTGAGTAACTTCTATCTGGCCGTGTTTAAATCTGGAGAAATTGCCGAAAATCTTCTGAAAAACTCATGAAAACCTTTCGAATCGATTACCTTATCAAGGTTTACGAAAAATTTTTGGGACTTACTAGAAGCCCCCTCCAGAAATTATAAACAGTAGACAAACTAGAAAGAATTAGATTTGTAAAACAAACAAACATACTTTCAGCTGGATAATCAAATGAATCAAAAAATGCAAATGGGTCAATTGTTGATAAATACGAAAGACATGTTACTGTATTGCATTTAATACTAACACGTGATTCATCATTCGTTTTTACTGTACCATCTATATTTAATATATATCTAATAAATATAAGAAAAAAAGAAGATTTTGTTGTTTTTTTTCGCTTTTTTTGTTTTACTTTGATATAAGTTGTTCAACAAGTTTAGCAGCTGATGTTCGTTTTATTGATGTTGATTCTAATTCATCATTCATTTTATTTGCTAGATTTTGTTGTAATTCATTTATTTCAATAAATGAACGTTGATATGTTGGATAAGCTATGAACATAAATTTATGAAAAATATAATTTTTTTCGATTAATTAATTTTACCTGATTGTAATGTTTGACTAACACGTGTTTGTTCTATTGATTTATTTTCTGTTGAAATTAATAATTGATCAAAATCAAATAAATTCGAATATTTAAGTATAACTTCAAGTGTTTCTAATGAACTTGATACAACATTATGATCATTATGTTGTAAACAAAGATAACATACAATATCAACAGACTAGAAAAAAATAATTTATATTTTAAATCAAAGTTTGTTGCTTTATATTTACTTCGATTATTTGTCGACTATTTATTGGAGCATGTTGTTCATTTGCATCAATATTTTTACTTGTATTTAATGGTTGTTGATGATTTCTTGGTGATGAAAGAAATTCTTCGAGATTATCGCCAAGTAATTGAATAAGATTTTTTATTAAACCAAGATATCCATTTATTAAACGAATACTTTCAGTTTGATTATGATGTTCAAGTAATTGATCTATAATGAAAAAAAAAGCAATAGAAAATGAAATTTTCAATCAAAAAAAAAAAAATTACCAGTCGCATATGTTATTAGATAACGAGCTATAGCCATTGGATATCGAGAATGATGACATATGACAATAAGACAAGCAGCTGATGAGCGACGAATAAGTGAAGATTCATGTGACATATTTGCCAAATAAGCCAAGAGAAGATCCTTCAAGAATAATTTCAATTTTAATTAACGATTAAAATAGATTTTTGTTAGTAATCAGTACTAATCATATTATGGACTCTTATGATAAATAGATTTATTAGTAGTTATTAAAGTACTATTGATCGGGGTCTATAATTAGATCTGAATTTAGCTTCGAATCTTAATAGAATTATATTAAGCGAACATAACAAGAAATAATTTTTTAAATCTTAATTATCTATTCAAACAACATAAATCTGCAATTTTCTACTTCGTAATCTAAAATAAAATTTACTAAATTCTTTTTTAATATTTCTAGCAAGTACGATTATCATTATCATCAATTTCCGCATTCAACAAAACGAATCAAATAAATCTCTTTCCTTGAGATCTGACATAAACAAATAGTGAATAATAACTACTTATGAATTATTCTTAAAATAAACCATATGACAATCGTATTGTTTAGCATTTCCTCTTAAGATTAGTTCAGGACTGATAAATTTTTAGACTTACTTTGATTTCTTTATCATTAATTGATCGACCAAGAACACGAAAAATTAATTCATAATATTCTGGTAATTTTTCATGAACAATATCTTCTGAACGTGCTGCAATCGAACAAAATGCTCCGAATAAATGATCGAAAAATGGTCGAATCTTTTTTGCATGTATTACATTTGCTAATTCAGCAAATCTCCATAAAGCACCTGAATAAATAATTAATCATAAAAAAAAAGAAATGATTCGAATTTCTAATTAAAAAAAACCTTTCAAAGCTCTTGGCCCCACATTTGGATTTCGTTTTATAATGCGATGTAATTCAACTTGAATTCTTGTTAAATGTATATCTTTTAGATTCTATTTAGAATTGAAAATGTTTTATTTTATTATATAAAGAAAAAAAAGAAGTATTTCTTTTTGGTCATACTTTAATTAATTTATTAAGATTTTCATCTGTAGCTAATCGTACATCATGATCATTATCATCACAATTAAGAAATAATGTTTCAACACTAGCTGTAAGAAATTTAAAATAATTATCCGTATTGCTTCTAGAGAACAAAACAAAAAATAGATAAGATAAGAAAAATGAAAAAGTCGATTATTTACTTAATTAACGATTGTGAAGAAAGTAAATCAGTTATAATATTTAAATGATGGATTTTTTCTTTGCTTATAGACATTGGATCTAATCGGGATCTTTTAAAAGAAGATAAAAAAAACAACATGTGATGTAGACAATAGAAAATTAATTTTGTTATACTTTTCATTGCTTGCTGCTATAGCATCTGATGTTGTAGATGAAAGGATTTTTAAAACCTCAAGTGATTTACTTAATTTATCCATTAATTTTGTGTTAATATCAATTCATTGATTTTAATTTAAATATAGAAATGACAATGTTTAACAGTATCTCATAACGGAACGAACAAATAAATGACCGATTTTCATCGCTAAAACCTGATTGATTATTAAAGAATACCATTGAAATTCTTGTTTGAAATTTCAATAGATGGCGTTGAATAAATAAAATAAAGAAACTTATGTCATATGTTTTGCTAACTTCTTTTATCACTAGGGCAAAGTCCGTTATGATCGATAAATATTCAAAACAAATAATGTAAAAAAGAAATTGCTGATTACAATCTATTTCAATATAGATTTATTTAATTAAATTAATAAGAAAAATTATATATGATTATGAAAGAAATGAATTTCCTGTTATATATGAAATATTTGATTTTGCTGTTTGTTTACTTCTAGAACTTTCTAAACTTTCATTTATTGACTCTTGATCACTATTTGCTTTTTTTTTTGACTTTGAACGTATACAATGTCGTCTTAGTATATAAAAAATACCCAATCCACTGATAATTACTAAGACAAGTGTAATTGCTATACCAATAATTAATGTTCTTTTTGATGAATTATCTTCTGAAAAAAATTATATTCAATAAGAAAACATAAACTTATGTATCTATAAATATTTTAATAATCACCATCTTTAGTCATATGAAGAATTCTAACTGATTTAAGAGTTATATTTCCATAGATATCAAGTAGATTAACATTTTCTAATGATTCACGTTTGTTAATTTTAAAAAGTGTATGTTCATTAAAAGAAATCTTTAAATGAAAATTAAATAAATATTTATGAAATCAAAATATTTACATTAAATCCACCATTTTCATCAAGAATAATATCAATAATAAATGATGTATTAACTACCAATGGACTTGGTATTAATTTTATTTCACTCAACCAACGAGCATTAACCTTACTATTGAATATAATCATGTCTTTTGTACATTTAAGATGAAATGGTGTATTATCAGGATTGTTTACTAGATCAATAAAGAAACTAGAAAAAAAAATAGAATATATTTAATTTAGGACGTTCAATCGTTATATGTATTAAAGATCAGAACATTAAACTAGTCTTTCATTATATAATGCTACGTTTCAACTATTTATATTTTCATTTAACTAAAAGTATATGAGAAGTTTTCTAATAATTGAGCATTATTGATTATTAGTTATCGAAACATAATTCTTAATACCGAAACAGTTATCTACAAATTATGATTGTATTAATTCTCTTAAAATATTAATACTAAACCAAATAAATAATATAAAATCTAGCTAATAAGCTTTATCTGGTATAAGTATACTCATTATGATGTAGTGACAATTGTCCTTAGTACTTTCCCCTTCTTATCTTTTACATGTATTAATCAACCATATTAGATATGTATATATCCATCGATCATGTGATCTCTTCTTGTATATAAGAAATACAGTATATATATATTCTTTTCTTTCGATCGAACATTAGTATATGATACTTACATAGGTTGAAGAAGTATACCGAGAATAAGTATTTCATCATTTGGTTTTAATTTTGATAAAACTTTTTCTGTATGGTTAGTAATGAAAGGCTGCTTTCGTGAAATTTTAATAAATAATAGAGAATTTTCTTAAAACAAATTTTTTTACTTCATTTGCACCATCGACATATTGAAAACAAAGACGATAACTACCACAAAATAAAATTATACTGATAATGATTATTTGATGACCTGAGTAAGATAATGGAAGAAGTATGAAATGACACATAGGATCAATAGAAATTCTAGTTGATGGTTGAATCGTTGCGCCATTCTTATTTTTTTTAAATTTATAATATAGAAAAAAAAACGAATTAATTTTCTTTTTATAGTCAAATAATGATATTAATCAAAGAAATCAATAATATTATTATCTATATTTAGGCGATATTTCTTTTTCTCTTTCCGTCATTTATTAACCTCGTACACGTTAACTGTATATATATAACAAAGCAGACTATTTATTGAATGACTACACTTTTAATCGTTCTTCGATTTTTGTGGTCTGTACCAATATATAAACTTGTATTGTTTTATATAGATAAATATCTGGTCATTTCATTATATAGAAAGAAATGACGTCCATAACTGTCTATTTAATTTTTCTCACTCTTGTTTTGTGTAGTAAGTAATTGATGAATAAAAAAGCTGTGTTTCTAATGTACTTCAATATTTTCATGTAGATATTATAAAAGCATCGTACATAGGTGACGGTTGTTGTGAACAATGGAGTGACGACGGTAGTTGTTGTCTTGATTATTATTCACAATGTTGTGGTGGAGGTGGAGTTGGTTATTATGATGGTGGTAGAAATGCATGGGGCAGAGTAAGTTTTATCAAATGTTGTCTTTCATCATGAATATTAAAAGATATTTTGTTTTTAGGGTTGGGGTGGTGGATGG